AAGCTGCTTTTAACATTATAAAAAAAATAATAAAGAGGAAAAAGAGACTTTTGCAGAAGTCTCCATAATTGTCTAATAGGAGTTTTTAATGAACTTCAGATTTGCTGAAAGTATTAAAACTAAAGAATTATATTAACTTTTCTCTTGTGTGACAAACCTAAATTAGCAATTCACAAAAGCCACTAAGAGTACTACTTTAAAAATACGTGTTTAAAATTAAGAACTTGAAAGGAAAATTAGTAAATAAAATGTATTGGGTGGTATGTGTAAGAAAAATATTGAAATTTGAAAAGGTTACCTTTCACTTTAAAGATTTAGGTCCACATAATTCCATCCATTTGCATGAATTTATATGTATTTTATTAGGTTTATATATGTGTAGTATCAATTTTTATGTTTATAAATTTACATTTTCATTTACAACCAAGCTGAGCATCACTGGGTGATAAATCTATTTGGTAAAAGTTTTTAGCAAGACAGTATATATACACAGGTAACTTATTGCCACACATATGATTACAAAAATAAAAGATATTATACAGTGTTCAAGTCTTGTTCATACTATCTTACTAAACTAAGCAAATTTAACATCAATTATAATGGGGAGAAAATAATTCACATACCTGTTGATATACGGCAGTGTGAAAGACCGTAAATGACTAAATTGAATCCAAGAATTAAAATAAATAGGTAAAAATAAATCAGGATTAAGACTTGTTCTGTAAGCCTAGGAGATATCTCAGCAGTAAAAATGCTTGCCCAGCAAGCTCAAGGTCCCAAGTTTGATCTCCCAGGTACCACAAATAAATACATACATACATACATACATACACACATACATACATAAATTAAATAAAAGACTAATTCTATAAAACAACTGGTCTGTATTTTTAAAAAAATGTTGTCAAAAAAAAACAGGATTTGATTTGAAACTGTCTCATTGCTATCTGTTTATAAATAAAATTTTGAAAAAAAAAGTAAAAAAAAAAAGATGCAAGAACAAAAATTTAAGGTTTCTTGAAAATAAGTGATAATATCCAACCATATGTCTAATCTTACATAACTATATCTCCTAATCTGAACAACAGATTTGACAATAAAATAGATAATATGTCAAGCACTGTTAATCAGCTATTCTTGGTTTGAAAATCTGTAATGTATGTATTGTTGCATGTTGCCCTCCTGTTTCTTTCTTTGTTTCTGATTTTTGTTCTTGCTTTTCAAAATAAAATGAAATTAAAAAAAAAAAAATAATAACAGGGCCAGCAAGATAGCTCAGTGGACTAAGTGCCTGTTTAGGCAAGGACAAGGATGGGGATTCAATCCTGGGCACCAAATGCCACACTGGCTCCACCCACCCCCAGGCATGCTGACTGGCCACTGAGACTGGGCATGGTGGCACATGCCTGTAATCCCAGTGCTGGGGAGGCTGAAAATAGGAGGATCACTATGAGTCCAAGCTGCATAGTGAGACCCTGTACCAACTACATAAAAAAGATAACAATCACAAAAAATGGATTCTTCTGGTCATGAAAAATGACAAAATAAATGGTAACAGAAAGCAACTGGTGACCTTTGATTCCTAGATGAAAATATAAAGTGATTAGAAATAGAAAAGGAAGTCAAATTATCTTTCTGTCCAGACGTCAGGATTTTACATCTAGAAACCCTAGATTCCACCAGAAGTCTCTTACAAGTGATAAAGTCAGCAAAATAGCAGGACATAAAATCAACACAAGGGGGCCAGAGAGATGGCTCAATGGAATAAGCACTTGCTTCACGAGCACAAGGGCCTGAGTTCAATCCCCGGTTCCGCAAAA